AGCACTGACAAACACCAGCAGAGCTTTTCTCTAGATGTTTCCCCAAGATCTGCAGAGCCCTTGCTCACCAGAGCTCAGCGATCCCTTTTCCCAGTTCAGATTCTTCCACTCGCTTTTCAGTAAAATGACATCCCCCCAATCTAATGCAGACGCCTGGTCCCGCGATGCTCTCTTATGCACAGAATTCAATCAGGCAAATAGGGGAAGGGTATTCATTTTGGAAACCTCACAGCTTATGGACTTTTATCCCCTTCGGTCCACTGGCTCTTTATTTATATACAAATAGTTATCAGTGCATTTTCCTCTAGGAGCTACTGCTTGGTGTTGAAAACCTAAATGAAGGAGATGGCTGTAAAAACCATAAGCCCCAACCCCCAGTTGTCTGACAATCCAAAGCAGAGTCAAGGCCAGGACTGTCCCTGATGCTGCTGTCTGTATCCCAGGTACGAGACGGAGCTGGGCATGCGGCAGCTGGTGGAGTCGGACATCAATGGCCTGCGCAGGATCCTGGACGAGCTGACCCTGTGCAAGTCCGACCTGGAGGCCCAGGTGGAGTCCCTGAAGGAGGAGCTGCTCTGCCTCAAGCAGAACCATGAGCAGGTGAGGTCCCCAAGGAGCGATAGGATGGAACTTGCCACGGCCTGTTTCCAAACCCACAGGGTGCGGGAGAGTGTTCTAGCTGGGGAATGTGTGTTCTCCAAACAAAAAAGGATTTGTCAAGAATGAGTCATCTAAAAATCCCTGATAAGAGATTAGGACGTTTCTGCCAGAGGCAGGAATGTGAGTGAAGGATGTTGGCAAGCCCAGTAATGAGGAAAGGTCAGCAATCAGGTCAGAGCAGATGGGGCCTTCGAGGTCTTCTATCCCAATTCTCCAAGTAACAGCTGGGGAGGCCAGGATGAGACCTCCCCACACAGCAGAGAGGGCTGAGCTGGAAACAAAACCTTCCTCCCTTTTCTCATCCAGAGCTCTTCCTGCTATTCAGAGTTGCCTGAAGGAAACACTGAAAAAGTGCTCACTGTTAATTGCACAACAAAAAAGACTGATATTTTGTGTAAACCTTAAATCCCAGAACAATGCAAATAGTGATAGTTAATATTAATCAAGTGCATATTGTATGTCAAACATTGTGCTCCGTTCTTTAGAATGTCACAGGTGGTTCTCATGTTATAGATGAAGAAATTGAGGCTTCTAGAAACTTCTAGAAGCCATATAATAAGTGGTAGAGATGAGACCCACTTCAAATCTGTCTGACATCCACCTAGTCCAAGAAACACACTATGCTGACTCCGTGAGATTAGCAGTGAAATGAGCAGATAGAATTTCCTTCAGCAAAATCCATACCGGTGGAATCAACAAATCACCAGCTAAGTCTTTTCTATTCCAGGATGGCAGATTTTGAAGTGAGCCCTCTTTAATTCCTCTTTAGTCAGTTTTTATCCTTTTTTATGACTCAT